TCGGAGTCACAGCTCCCAATCCCTTTAAGAGCCAGGTGCGCTCGTGCCAAGGCGGATTCGCTATTTACACGCCGGAATTTGCAAGCGCAAAGACTGAACGCGTCTCCAGAGATGAAACGGAGCTGCTCGTCCGTGAGCAAATATCTAGCCTAATTCTGATACATGTAATGACTATCCATTATGATATGTAGGCATTTTCATATTTATGTAGCCTAAATAATACTATTCTTTTACATTGTACTCCTTTAATTTGTAATATTTGGCATGTTTGTGTGCTGCTGTGCGTCGCTGTGTGTGTAATAAGCAGAGTGTACGCGCGTTGTGGACCTGCCTATACTAACGGGCTCTTTAAATAACAAAAAAAGTACTGCAGTAATTTACTTTAGACCAGGTTTTAGTTGGTCAATGGCGCAGTCTATTTCAGTTGCCTCAACATAGCAATGCACCAACGATGCTCCTGAACACACCTCGTTCTCAGACCAGCACGCCCATGAGCGCACAAATGGGCGCAAATGCATTTGCTATTTAAACAACGTGGTGCAGGACGTGAAAATGATAACTGCATCGGGCTGAAACTAGCAAAAGACAGTTGCGTCGAGCCTGGCGCCACATTGTGCCGGCTGTATGCTAGAGCCCAGTGTGTGTGCGCATCCATGTTGCCTAGTACGTGCTTGCAGCGGGATCATGTAATTTACCCAGAAACAACTATATTCTAATTTCTGATTGGCTGTTAGGTTTCATTTAACTCTGTATAACTCGAGACTAGTGATGCAAAGTCCGATTCTTTTTCGCAAACCAGTTATTTTTGGACAGTTAGGCTCATTGAACCGGTTCAAAAAGCTGATTCATCGGTTCCTGACGTCATCAAGCAATGATGTCTCTATGCATTTCTTTTCTAACAACTTAGTGCCATGTTGTATCAATGAAGTCATCTGTGTGAACGCATACTGCTGATTATTGCCTTTCATCCACTTAAGTTAATGATGTTTGTGGTCACAGTTTCATTCGCGTACACTTTGTCAGATACGGCTGACCAATATTGACTAGCCTACAACTTGGATAAGATTCCTAAAAGTTTCACACCTTTGGAAATATTTCTGTTATAAACAGAATATTTAAATGTATTCAAATTTATTCTGTTATATTTTCTTACTATGTCAAGTCAAGTCAAGTCAAGTCACCTTTATTTATATAGCGCTTTTAACAATACAGATTGTGACAAAGCAACTGAACAGCATTAATTAGGAAAATAGTGTCAATAATGCAAAATGACAATAGTAAACACTATGTGTAAGTAAGTGTTATTTTTTAGGATTACTGATAAACTACTGTCATTTGATTTCTATTATTTGTATTTGTTATTTATTTAAATTTTAGTTACATTATGTCCGAATTTATTATGATGTCTGTATAGGTCTTTTATTAAGTTTTTAGTTTTATTTAATTTGAGTTATTTTAATACTTCAACAAACTAAATGGAAATGAAATAATATATACAGTATATATTGAATATATAAATGTATATGTGTGTGTGTGTATATATATATGTGTGTGTGGTTGAACATAAACACATGTAGTTGTTTTTTTGGTGTTTGGCTTAGTGTTATGTTAGAATCATTATTCTACACTTATACCTTTTGTTCTTTACTATTTTAAATTGTTTTTAGCTTTATTTTTTGTTTTTCATTTATGTTAAGTTTTGAAATTTTGTTGTATGTATTTGTCATTTTTATTTAATCTGTTTATTTTTAAAATGTGTATAGGTAGTATTTATAAAGATTTAGCTTTTAGTTTTGGATCTGTTTTTAGTTGTTTTAATACTACAATTGATTGCTTCTGTTGTCCTCATTTGTAAGTCGCTTCAGATAAAAGCGTCTAATAAATGACTAAATAAATAAACCATAAAGGTGGGCCAATGGATATCACATCACAAACTTTATGCCAGTGAGCATCTTAACCTCAGTCAATTCACTATAATTGAAAGTGAAAAAAGTAAAAACTGACGGCACTTTCAGCATCTGACACTGCATTAACGGCACATATTCTCTAAGAGACGACGATAAACGAATCTACTTCAACATATGCTGATAATGGTATATAACTGTCCTAATTTATTCCCTTAATATTTGTCTTGTGGCCCGTACATTGTGAAAGAAATGAGAAGAAACGAATTTCACGTTGAACAGGTTGTTTTTGGAAGTTGGTGCTTGAAATAAAGCATTTTCAATGATGGCTGCAGAGTTAATCATTTTTAATTAACTGTATAACTCAGACCTGTTTAAAAAAAACTTCTTAAAACCATTTTGAATGAGGAGTAAGCTAATAGCCCAATCTTTTATTATTCTCACAGTGCGTCAGTTATGTGGTGATGCGCTCTGAAATTATTGAAGAGCAAATTAATTGTGATTTAATAATAAAAGTAACCTAATAATAATAATAGGCCTAATGATTGCTTATCATAAGAATGTAAAAGGCCAAATCCTCTTAATATTGACAATATTTGATGCTTTTGACAATATCTATCGTCGACACATGATACGACGCACCCCAGCACGAGGAGGTTATCGCGGGGTGCCCGTCCGCCACGTCACTGATTATGAGTTGTTGCTACGCGGTTGCTAGGGTATCCTAGGTGGTATCTAGGATGTTGTTAAATGGTTGCTAAGGTGTTCTAGGTGGTTGCTAAGGCATTGCTAGGCGGTTGCTAAGGTGTTCTGGGTGGTTGTTTGGGTGTTGCTAGGCAGTTGCTAGGGTGTTTTGGGTGGTTGCTATGGTGTTGCTAGGCGGTTGCTAGGATATTATTGGTGGTTGCTAGGCAGCTGCTATGGTAACCTGGATGGTTGCTAGGGTGTTGCTAGGGAGTTCTGGGTGGTTGCTATCGTATTTATAGAC